TTAGAGAGCAGAATGTTGTATAGCAGAATCCAATTGTGTGGATTAAGGTTGGGAAGATCTGCCAGATAGATAAAAGACTCCGTGTTTGCTGAACCACGGTTGATCTTGAAATTGACATTGATAAATCTCCCTGTAGATAAAGGTTTCAGTACCTTGACTTTAGTAATTTTCTGTGCGCTCCAAGTCAAGTACTGTGGTTGACCATTCTTCAAATAAAAATCTATCATCTCTCTGTCAACCATAGAATGTGGATATGGGACCTCAGCAGTTGCCTCAAAGCAATGGAAAGTGAATGCTTTTCTGGTTATGGGCATGTCAAACTGCGAGTCTCTAGAGTTTTCACACTCAAACGAAGCAATTGGTTCTAACCAATAGACAGATGGAAACTCAATCGCCTGATTGATAAGTGTATCTCTATCCCATTCTGGAAAAAGAGCCTTCTTGCAGTGCAAGGCCTCTTTGACTTCCTTATTCTTCTTTTCTCTTTCTTCAGCCTCTCTGGCCACTTTCAAGGTTTCATCCAACTCTCTGTCTCTCTTCTTCCTCTTCAGAGCATCTGCAATAGTCTCTTCTTCCTCATCACTATCAGTTGGAATATGAATCTGATGAGATTTGTAATCGAGTTTAAAGATCAATTTATGTAAGAATTAAGGAAAAAGAATCACGATGAACAAGAGAGTAAATATAATCTTTGATCAGCTCATATTATGCTTTCTGATTTACAGAGTATAACAGAATTCTCTGTAAAGTGTGTGAAAAGTCTCTCTTTCTCACATTATACAGACTCCTATTTATAGGCGTACAGAAGCATAATAAACTACTAAGGACTAGACATTAAAGCTTAGATAAAATGCCTTAGTAATTATAACGTTACATTCGAAGACACAACTTACAAAGACTAACAATCCTTCGTAATAAAAACAATACTTCGACATATTACAATACAAACCCTAACAATCTCCCCCTTTGGAATATAGGTCGAAGTCTTCATGAAGTAAGTAGTTGTATAGCATACATCAGTACCCTTCGAATTTCCATGTACCAAGAGATAACTTTCTTTATCTCTTTCTTGTCTCCTTCTGAATTCTTCTTGCAATGATTCATACGAACAATTAAGTTCGTATATTGCGAATTTGTATATCTTTCTACTTCAGAGGTTTGAAACAAAAATCTCTTGGCCTTTCCAGCTTTGTCTTTTCCAGCGAAGACTATCCCCAATGGCTTTAAACAAATTTCTCCGTCTTCAAATTTCTTCAATTCCACCTGCTTCATTGTAGGAGCCATTGGAACAGTGATGTCAATGCCTTTGACAGTAGCAAGCTCGATATCAGTTTGAGCTAGGCATTCGAAATAATTTTCCAAGAAAACTTTTATATGCCTACACCCAAGACTGTAGACATCAGGTTCTGTTTCTTGAAGATAAGAAAAGGACTTGTCTTTGAGAATCAATGCAGTATTGATGAGATCATAAGTGTTCATCAACGGAAAGTCAACTATGGTGAACTCTTGTATCTTCCCACTTGCTCTTGACACAACATACTTCAAGTTCTCAAACTTTCCTTCGAAAATGACATCCCTTTTTATTGATATCACCTTCTTAATCTTCTCCGAATACCAGACTTCTTCTTGAGCTTTAGCTAACACAGCATGAAATCAAATTTTCATCTTCTTTCCTTCTTCGACATCCATATTCTTTGACTCTGCTTTAAACTGTGGCATGATGAACATCATCTCATTAATTGGAAAGTCGAGTTTCCCATAATCAGTGTTTGTCACCACATAACTCTTCTTAGGAATCTTCTCAAAAGAATACATATGGTCAAACATCATGTAAAACCCCGTTTATTTATTAAATAAATAAATAAATAAATAAGCGAATAGAAGCCCTAAAATAAATGATTATGTATGAAAGGATGGTCTCGAGGAGCTAATTGTAAATATTTTAGAAGATGGGGATTGTTTGGTAAAAGATGGGACTTAATTTGAAGGGAATTTCCGAAGTTGGGGTTGCTTTGAAAGAATAAGGGTAGGGAGGGGCTGTTATGGTCCTTATGGCAAACTAAATAAATGGAGGCGGATATTTAGGGTCCCGTAACCCCAACCCTAGCGCAAACAATGGCAGCCGCCATCTTCTTCACTCCATGTTACCGTTGCAGCCTCCATCACTCTCCTTCTTCACCACCGACGATGCTACCGTTGTAGTTACCGGAGCGAGCCACTGAGATCGTCGCTGCTTCGTTGAGAACCGCCGCCATAATCTCCTCTGCCACTTCCGGTGAAGTCGTGAACGGATAGAGAAGCTCCACCAAGAATGAAGGCGGAGCTGTAACCGGCGTACGCAAGTCGTGTGCAGTTGGGATGCTCTCGGTGAGACTATCTCTCATCTCCTTCTTCCATTTTCTAGTTGTTGGGGCCATAACCGCCGCTGGTCACCAATCAATGGCGTTTTAGCGATATCCTGCCACCTTGTGGGTGGCTAAATACGTATCTGTTGCCTTAAAGGTTCGTTTAGGGAGCTAATCGGGTTGTATGTGCGTTACTTGCTCGCAGGAATTAGGAGAACCGCTGTCACCACCGTGAGGTGGTGGCTATCGCTGCAAAATCCGCCGCCTGCCGCCACTCCTTCCATTTTCCGGCGTCGCTGCCATCGTGATCATCTGCTGTTGCCGCCATGAGCCACCAGATGGGTGGCTGGAGTTGTTTTGTGACCATATAGCGGGTGTGTGTGTGCATGTATTTCTGTTAGTGCGTGTTTAGTCTAGCCGAAAATCATAAGAGCCGCCACTGCCACCACCGTGAGGTGGTGGCTGCCGCCATGAACCACCACTTTGTGTGTTTATGTTATTAGTGTGTGTATTTTAGTGTATGTGTGCGTGGATAAATTCGGTATTTTACCTTGTAATTGTAAAAAAAAAGGGAATAATGAAAAGAACTTGAAAACCACCACCTTAGGGTGGTGGCTGTCGCCTCCTGCCGCCGTGTCGGGTGGCGGTGCGCTTTGCCTCTTGTGATTGATTCGTTTGGGCTTAGTGAAACCCTAATGGGCTCAAAGGAGCTCTAATGGGCCTAATGAAGCTTAATGGACTCTATTGGACCAAATAAAACCCTAATGGGTTTAATAATATTTTAGTGGGATTAATAGGCCCATAAAGCCCTAATTGACATAAAAGGACAATAAATTAATAAATGGGCTAGTAATTGGGTTGGAAACCTTAATGCCATCAAAACCCTAATTTTGGGGAATTAATCGAGACACACGAGAATTATGTAATAACTTGGAATATTAAATAATAAACTTTGGCAGAAATTAATCTAAGCAATAATGGACTTAATGGATTAAGTCCTTAATTGATTAAGTCCCTAGTGTGTTAATTCCTTAGTGGGTTAAGTAAGAAACACTTAACCTTAGTCATCATTTTATGTGAAACCCTAATTTCACTTGGGTTTATTGTTGGGCCTTTCTATTGGGCCTTGATGATTGGATTAATAATGGGCCATCCAAGAATAATTATATGGACTAAAATGATTTAATGGGCCTAGGGTAAGTCCCATGTAAGGGTTGGGCCCAATTTGTAAAATTGGGTCATAGATGGACCATAGTTGGGCCTTAATGATTGTATGATGTTGGGCCTTAGAATAAGACCATGTATAGGCCTGGGGCCAATTTGGAAAATTGGGCCATATGTTGGGCTTTGATTTCCTAGTGGACTTTGGGCCTAAGGATTGGGCCTTGGGCTTGCATAAAGTCAACCTTGGGGTAATGTAGTAATTATCCAAGTGAGTATCTATGATTATGTGTTGGGACCCAATTATTAATTGGGTGTTATTTTTGTGTTGACAGTTCGGGAATCTGTCATCTAGCAACTGGGGTGAAGTCTGTGGGACTTCAGCAATGTGGGGTTATGTCTACGGGACTTCAGCAGTATGTGGTGAGTTTCCTTCCAGTAGGAACGGGTCTAAGGCCACAATGTCGGCCCGTTTAGTAGCAGTAGGTTCCGGACTTTGGTCCGATGCAGTTGTTAGTTTGTTTGATGCTTTCGTGGCTCAGACATGATTTATGTGTTAAGTGTTATGGGCTACAACCTGATGTAGTATACAGTATATGAGTTTATGATCATGTGTGTTATGCTATTTGATATGTGTTTTGCTATGCTATGCTATGCTATGCCCAGTCAGTTCCGGATTTTGGTCCGATGCAGTTAGTTTTGGACTTTGGTCCGATGCAGGGGACAAGGTCCCAGTCAGTTCCGGACTTCGGTCCGATGCAGTTAGTTCTGGACTTCGGTCCGATGCAGGGGACAAGGTCCTAGTCAGTTCCGGACTTCGGTCTGATGCAGTTAGTTCCGGACTTCAGTCCGATGCAGGGGACAAGGTCCCAGTTAGTTCCGGACTTCGGTCCGATGCAGTTTCCGGGCTTCGGCCCGATGCAGTGGGCAAGGCCCAATATGTGTTTATATGTTATTGTATGGTATGTGGTAGTTTGGGGGAGCTCACTAAGCTTCGTGCTTACAGATTCAGTTTTGGTTTCAGGTACTCAGTTTTCAAAAGAGGAGCTCGGGAAGATTGCAGTGCACATACCATTTGTTCAGCCTGAGATGTTTATACTCTAATATATTTGATAGTTGTTCTAATATTTTGAGATACATTGCTTATGATTTCTATATGAGGTTTATTGACTATGGTTTTATCATTAAATTAAACGAAATTTTCAGACTGTGTTTTTGGGGATGTTACACATCACTCTTGATTCGATAGTTTCATAGTTGAAAACTTTCGAAGGATCTCCCTTGTTGACATTAGAACCTTTAAGAGCTCTTTGTCGCATAATGCTCTCAACATGCCTCATTCATTCTAATTCAGCTGCCACCTCAGCTTTCTTTTCTTTGTTTGTCTTCTCAATCAAGACTCCTTTTCCTTTGTCTTTCTCATTCGAAGGAGCAGCACCCTTTGAAGAAGAAACATTCGAAGAAACAACATTCCCAATTACAATACCTTTTGTACTAGGTCTTGAAATCGGAATCGTTGTAGTCACAGTTGAAATGACAGGAGCGGCTGAAACAATTGTTGGTTTGACTGGAGCCTTCGAATCTTCTGGTTTCATCTTGAACAATCTTTTCTCCCCCTTGCACCCCTGTGATAGCAGGTGGGGCATCTGATATACTTGGCCATAGGCTTGAGATTCGAAGTAGCGGAGTAAGATGCTTTTGAAGAATGGCTTCGAAATGAAGAAATTTCTGAGATGGATACTCTTGAGAGATAATCGAAGAAGAGGATTTCGAAGAGATTTCTTTGAGTTCCTTCATTAGATTCACCAATTCTCCGAAATGTTGAACTTCAGTTGCTGACAGAGAAGTCATCTGTGATTTGAGCGGTTCAAACCTCTTGACACACTGAACAACAGCATCACAAATGATGTCAATCTTCTGATGTGCAGAATCATGCCCCTGGTTAAGAGTTTGAACTTCTTTCGTCATTTCTTCACGAAGTTCTCTAATCTGCATATTCACATCCTCTCTAACCTTCTTCACCTCCTGTACGAAGAGCACATGACACTCCTTCGTAACCATCTTCAAATCTTTAACTTCCTTTAGGAAATCAGTTCTAAGAAACTTGATTCTATTCTCAGTAGAACTATCAGACTGGTCAATTTTTTCTAAAATCTGGCTTTCTGAATCACGAATGAGCCCTGAATTCTTCGATAGCAGCTTGTTTTCCATCTCTTTCATCAATGAATCAACTTGCAAAAGATTGATTCCAGCATTTCCGACATCTGCTTGAGATTGTAAGATTGAATTCAATTTGGAATTCAAAATCTTGAACTGCTTCATCGTCATTATCATATGATCCGGAAAATCTTCTTCTGATTTATCAAAAGAAAGGTCTTCGAAATTTCCCCCAAAACCTTCGTTGTCAGTTTCTTCATCAATTGCCATTGTTTTAGCAATAGGTGATAAAGATTGACAACCACTCGAGGAATTTCAATTTCTTTCGTCTTTTGAATTGGCTTCGCATTTGAATTTTCCTCCTCATTGTCACTATCATCCGTTTGACTCTCATGTATTTCCACAAACTCCATATCACAAACTTTCGAAGTTGAGGGTTTATTAGTTTCAATTTTCATTAATAAATCTTCACATTTTTCTTTCCCTTTAAATGAATTTACAACATTTATGACAGACAACTGTGAACAATCTACATCTTCTAAATCACTAATTTCACTAATATTATCAGAATTATCTTCAATATTAGCAATATTAGTTTCACTATTGGATGTAGAATTCTCAGTCTTTTTCAAAATTCGAAGTTGTTCTAATTTAGTTAAGGTTTCATTTACAATTTTTACTAAATCATCAGCATCAAGATAATCTTCAACTTTTGCAATTCCATATCTAAATCTATCATCTGGAATTTTGTTAAAATCAGAGATTTCTTTTTCACAATCATATGAAATACTATCAACCTTAGCTCTATCATAAGCTAAAAAAGGTAGTAATTTTCTATGTTGTTCCTTACTAATTTCACATGAATGATGTAACTCAGTTAATATTCCATATAATCTTTTTGCTGAATTACAAAAGATATTTCTCTGGGCTAACAACAAATTTATTTCTTTTCCTAACTTTTCTCTATCTTCCATGATATTTGACACTTGTAATTCTAAGTACTCAATTCTAGTGATTTTTTAATCCAACATTTTTCTTGTCTCTAGTAATTGATCACTTAACTTTTTGGCTTCACTGCTAGCAGACACAACGATTGAATCAAAGTAAATAACAGTTTCATCAAAAGATACTAACTCAGAATTACATGCAGAAACTGGAATGTTAAAAGATTCAAGAATGTTACGTACCTTAGTAGTCATAGGCGACTTGTCAGTAGACTTCAAAACGAAGCATCGCCCACACACTTCGTCAGTCTGTTCATCATCTGAATCTTCTTCCATTTTTGCATACATGGCTCCATGAGTTGGATTTTTCATTTCTTCATCATCTGAACCCGAAGACCATATTTGATATGTGCCGTCTGATTCATTTTCTCCATGAGCCATCAATGACAAATTCTTTGCATTCTTCTTGACTTCCTCCAGTTTCTCTGTGTAGTAAGCTTCATCTTTTGTTTTATTCTTCTTTTCTTCCTTCTTTCTCAACAAACAATCCACAGCCAAATGATTTGCTCCATAACAATAATGAAAATTGATTCCTGTATCACCTTTCAATTGCATCTTCATTTTCTCCATCTCATTCTTCGGATCTGTCTTCATTTCTATTTTCTTCTCATCCAGTTTGTTTTTTTCTCAAAGCTTCCCTTCGAATCTGATGACTTATTTGGATTAAAAGGTTTCTTAAAAAATTTCTTTACCCTATTGTTTGTGTAAAAAGCAACTACCTCATCATCAGAATTCATCAGAAAACCTTCTTCTTCTTCAGACTTTGTTTTATCATTTTCTCTTTCTGAGACCTTCGAAACTAGAGCCAAAGGACCACCAAGACTTGTTACAGCTTCTTCAGCTATTTCATTAACTTCATTTTCATGAGATTTCAATTGATTGTCTAAGTCATTCAAAGTCGAAGTATCAAAACTTTGTTGATTTTTCACCATCATACTCACACTCCTCCACTCCTTTCGAAGTCCCATCACAAATATCAAACTGTACTCCATTGATAAACTGATTATACTATAACGATTACAACGATAGATTAACTCGTTGAACCTATCATAGTGTGCTTCAATTGACTCATTTTCTTTTTGTTTAAAGTCTTTGAGTTGCACCAGACATTGTTTTACAGATGTGATTTTTGTCTTTTCACTTCCTTGAAATTTATCTTTGAGATTGTTCCAGATGTCTTTAGCTGTTTTGCAAGTTCTAACATAATTGTACACAACAGGAGGTAATGCACCTCTTAATTCCCTCATGCATCTCTTCTCCAAACGTTTTAAATGTTCGGTTTGATTATCAACTTCTGAACTGCTTGAAGACACTCCGATTGGCTGAACTTGTGCAGGTTGATTAACATTTCCTGTGATACACTTCCATAACTCTTCATCCAAACCGTTCAAGTAATCTTCCATACGATCTGCCCATTGATCATAATATTCTGGAATAAGCATTGGAATTTTTGTGGATGATCCAAGCAAATGAGAAAATGAAGTCATCGAATTAAGATTGAATGACGCCATTGTTGTACGGACAAAAACTTCAAGATGAAACTTGACTTTTGAGAATTATGAAAATCAAATTGTATAATTCAATTCAGAATTACACAAAGAACACTCGATTAACAAAATTTTTTGCAGAATCAAATCCTAGATTGAGACCTAGATGAAAATTTCAAATTCAAAAAGGATGGAAACTTTTTGAATCAAACAGTAGATTCAAAAACCTTTTTGATCGAATGAAAATCAGATCACAGAAAGGATTCCTGCTCTGATACCAATTGATGAGATTTGTAATCGAGTTTAAAGATCAATTTATGTAAGAATTAAGGAAAAAGAATCACAATGAATTAGAGAGTAAATATAATCTTTGATCAGCTCATATTATGCTTTCTGATTTACAGAGTATAACAGAATTCTCTGTAAAGTGTGTGAAAAGTCTCTCTTTCTCACATTATATAGACTCCTATTTATAGGCGTACAAAAGCATAATAAACTACTAAGGACTAGACATTAAAGCTTAGATAAAATGCCTTAGTAATTATAACGTTACATTCGAAGACACAACTTACGAAGACTAACAATCCTTCGTAACAAAAACAATACTTCGACATATTACAATACAAACCCTAACAGAATCTCTTTCTGTTTCAGCTTTTGCTCAGAAACTGAAGCTAAATTAACCTTCGATTCTGTTTTGACCTGTTGTGCACCACCCTCTCCCCCTTGTTTTGGAGGTATGAACCCCTTCGAAACACCCTTCATCTCACTAAGAATGGAAATGGCAGGTAGGAGTTTGGATTGAAGATGTTTTCGAATTGTCAAGGTTAGGATAGGATCATGGGTTTCCAGCAAGTTGGTCAGCATATCCTTAACATCTCCTGCACAACTTTTGTACACCGCCCTTTGAGTTTTTAACAGAGAGATTTCCTTCTCTACCTGGGCGAGCTGCACCTTCTGTATGTCAATAGTGGCCTGTTGTTTGTCTAGATCCTCCTTTAGGGCACTCTCAGTTGCTAGATTTGCAGTTAGAGCATCAAACCGAGAGTCCACAGAGTGCAAAAAATAGGTTGTGTCTGTTTGAAGCTCAGTACGAACAGCTTGAAACTTTTCAGTTTCTTCACGAAGAGACATGGAGAAGGAATCCACCGAAGCTTGATGTTTAGATGCATTGGTGTCAGCATGAGATTTTAAAAAGTCAAGGAAAATCTGAGTTGTATGAACAACCTCAGAAACTTCCTTGGTGGCCTTCTGACAAGTAGAAGCAGACTCATCCACAGCCGCTGTAGATTTATCAATTGCATCTGTGTACTGTTGAAGAGCCGTCTCCAAAAAAGCTTTAATAACCACTCCTCCATAAGCTTTGCTATCAGCAAGCAGTTTATCTAGCTTTTCATGAATTTCTTGGATCTGCTGACTTGTGACAGAAGCATCAGCTGTATCATCAGATGGAATTCGATAAGGGCTATAATAGGTAGAATCAAAATCCTGATCATCTCCCCCATGAGTGGCTGCAGAATCGGAGGATTGGGTTGGTGAAGGTGGTAAGTTGATGACAGGAGATTCAGTCATAGTAGTAGCCCCTGTATCAGATACATTGACTTCTATTGTGGGTTTAGGAATGGTAGTTGTGGTAGATTCGGTTACAAGTGGAGTTGAGAATGGTATGGTTGAGATAGGAACAGAAGTACTTTGTGATAAAGGTGGCATAACGGTTGTTGGAATGATAACTGGTGGAGTATCAGCAAGAGCAGAGAGGTCAACTGTATGTTGTAGTGATGGAGGAGGAGTTGGAAGTGTTGTTTGTTGTGGAGATTCTGGTAGAGTTGGGGAGCATGGAGGAGTGAGATCTCAGGGCGAGTCATGATGTACTTCCTCTTCCTCAGGTTTTTCAGCATGAGGTTCTGTTCTTGGAGAAGTGCGTTGTCTTGGCCTACGAGCCATCTTCTTTACCTTCTTCTTTTGCGGTTTAGAAGATTCCCCTTCATCGTATTTTCGCTTAGAGGACTTGGCCTTTGGTTCCTCAGGTTCCTCTTTCTTTGTGGGTTTCTTGCCTCGGTTGATTGGTTTCTCCAATGCGTCTAGGGCAGCTTGCTGCTCTGGAGTTAGAACCCTTGGTCCAAGAGGAGGTAGTTTTCTATAATCGGCTAGGACATTGCTCTGTTCTAAAATGGATCTATACATTCTTTCAGGAATCATTCCATAGTGAAGAAACTTACTTGGATCTGAAATAATAATTTTCTTCGTATGAAAGGTTGCAATTGTAGCAAGAAGAGCATCCTTCATGATTGCTGGTGGTATCAGAACCACCACTTCTTTCGGCCAAACCCTTAATTAATAGGGTTAATAAACCATTCCATTGGGATGGTAAATAGGATTTCTTCACCTTTGTTATCGTTGTAAGCACATCCGTGTACCCCATTTCGTACATCATGGAGAACAGTTGGGACGTCGTGATGAAATCTGGTGAGATAATGGAGGAATCGATTGCAAGGCCCAGGAGTGAACAAAAATTCACTTTTGAAATTGAAGATTTCTTGTTGTGGATGGTGAAGTAGATGCGATTCTTGTTCTTGTCATATGTCGCCGAAGAATAAACTTGTGATAAGAGCGACATTGGAACGGCTTCCACCTGGGTTAGGGCTAAAACCAGGGGGAATATTTCAAGCATTCCACAACCTGTAACATGTATGGATCATATAAGAACGGAGTAAGTTCAATGATCATGTTTTGGTTAGGTTTTATAGTGAGAAAAGAAGATGATGCGGTCTGATCATGT